GGAGGAGGAGGCTCGGAGGAGGAGGAGGAGGATGAGGAGGATAAGGAGGAGGAGGAGGACGAGGACGAGGCGGAGGAGGTGCAGGAGGAGGAGGCGGAGGAGGATGAGGAGGAGGAGGAGCCGCAGGCCTCGCGGGCTCTGACCTGCTGGGGACGGCGCGGTGATGGTTGCGGTTCAAGATGGCGCTGACTCGCAGGCTCCTGAGGACCCGAGCGCGGATCGTGGTCTTTATGTGGCCGAGGAGGCGGCTGACACCGTCGTAGATGCCATCTTGACCAAAGGCGGGAAAGCTCTCTACGGCCGCTACCTGCGGCACAAGACCTGCGAGTTCGTGGCGGATGCGGTGGGGGAGCAACTGGGGAGGTTGAGGAGGACAGGTGGGGAGGAGAGGAAGGGGGAGGGGAGGAGGGGGGAGGTTGAGGGGACAGGTGCGGATGAGGAGGATGGATAGGGACACGTGCAGGGGGATGAGGACGAGTCGCTGCAGGAGGATGCGGGAGAAGGGGAGTAGTAGGATGAGGCGCATGAGCAGGAATCAAATGAACCGGGTCGAGTGTGTCACAGGGCGCCTTTCTTTCCCACAGCATAAGAATCATTTCTGGCACAATTCGATCTTGGGATCGGAACGCGTTCCCACCTCGCAAAACGGACTGCGCTCGCCCGCGGCTCCGCTTCCTACGACTTGGCGAGGGGAGCGTTCAGCGCGCCGCGCAGGGGCGGGAGCGGCTCGAATTTCGATGGGCGCGGCGAAGGCGAAGCATGCGCCGCGCTGACACAGCACTGCCGCTTTCACTAGCAAGCTGCGCGGCACTTGGCCGAGGTTGGGGCACTTCGCCCGCTATCGCGCGGCCCCGTCGCTGCTGCCGCTTTCGCGCGATGCGGCGGACGAGCCCTGCGCCGCGCCCGCGCGGGACACCACTCCCGAGCGAAATGCGCACGGAGCGCGGGCGAGGGTGACTGGGCGCCAGTTCGCGCGGCCCCCCCAAAGCTGGCGAGTGCAAGATAGGCGCCGCGTCGGTGCGGGAGCTCCACTTTCAGGCGACATCTGCCTGGCGACACAGCGAAGTCTGCATTTCCGCCCGCGCGCGCGTCGAGACAGCTGCGCGCAACAATTGTGCGCCACGTCCAGGCGGGAGTTCAAGCCTTGAGAAAACATGGGCGATGCGCCGATACGAGAGCGTCATTTCGTTTTTTTTGCGCGGGAAGTGCACTTCGTCCCTTTCCTGACATTTGCAAAATGGATGACGTAATGTCCGTGTTGACACTGAAATCGTCGACTCTGTTTTGCCCGACCATTTTGTGGTGTTGGGTCTTCGTTTTGAAGAGACAGCGCTTTGCGTCACTCTCCTCCTCGTTCTCCTGCTCGTCCTTCCCCTCCTCGCATCTCAAGACCGGCACACCATTCACACGTTTCGTGGCCACGTAGGCAGCTCCACCGAAGGCCCAACTGGCTGCGTTCGCATGGTGATTCCGCATTCATTTCGGCACACCATCGCACGTTTCGTGGCCCCATAAGGAATCTCACCTAAGTGGTTGCGTTCGCATGGGCCGTGGTTCCATAGGGAGGCCCACCCAAAGGCCCAGGGCTGCGCTCGAATGGCGGCACCGCACCGATTTCGTCACACCACTCACGAGGACCGTGGCCACATAGGGAGCTCCACCTAAGGCACGAGTGGCTGCGTTCGCATGGCGTCACCGCGCCCATTTCGACATACCCTTCAAGGAATTCCATCAACAAACCCCAGTGGCTGCGCTCGCATGGCGGCACTGCGCCCGGTTCCGCACACTATCAAGAGGATCGTGGCCCCATAAGGAAATTCGTCACGAGGATCGTGGCCCCATGGGAGCTCCACCGAAACCGGTACCCAGAACACGGTATTCACAACTGCACATGGATAGGTTCTTCGCCAGGATCATTTTTGTTGGGCGTTTCGCGCGGGACGCGTGCCCCGTTCCATTCTCGCCGCGCATTTGCAACGTGGACGGTGTAATGTCCATGTTGAGACGAAAATCCTCAATTCTGTGTGCTGTGTTCCCTCGTAGGATGGAGGAGGGTCCCGCATCCAGCGGCAATCGGCTGGTTGCGTGGACAGTGGCAGTTTTTATACGAACATGGAATTTAGATGGAGGAGGACGATGAAGAAGAGGAGGAAGAAGAGGACAAGGAAAGTGAGGATGATGAGGGGGAGAGAGAAAGAGGAACAAGAGGAGGAGGAGGAAGAGAAGGTGGAGGAGGAGGAGAAGGAGGCAGAGGATGAGGATGATGATGAGGATGAGGAAGAGGCGGAGGAGGAGGAGGAGGATCAAGAGGAACAAGAGGAGGAGGAAAAGGAGGAATGAGGAGAGACAGAGGGAGAGAGCGAGAGAGAGAGAGAGAGGAGGACCACTGTAAACTCAGGACGCATCAACGGTGTTGCACTCATCAATCTGTTAACAGGTCCTCTTCATTGCGACATGTGGCCCATTAGAAGACAGTTGATTGAGAGAGGAGGACCACTGTAAACTCAGGACGCATCAACGGTGTTGCACTCATCAATCTTTTAACAGTTCCTCTTCATTGCGACATGTGGCCCATTAGAAGACAGTTGATTGAGAATCATCGATCTTACTAGAGAGCCGTTCCTTTAATTTCAACGCTGCGGATCAACTTGGCTGGTGCGTCTTGACAGTCGTAAATCGAGTCCGAACGCAATTCATTGGATTTCAACACCGCAAATCATGGTGATTGTTGCGCCTAGACAGTGCTAAATCGTACCAGATCGCCATTCCTAGGACTTGAACCGTCCGAGCATTCAAGCAATGACGAACTTTTCAGACGAACGTGTGTTGCGCTAAGGCGAGGGACACATTTTGCGAAGGATCCGCCGTCCATGCTTGAAGTCGCTGCAGACTTTTACACGCTGAATGCTCCCTCCATCCGTGAAACTGCTGCACACTTTTACGGCCAGTGGGCGCGGTGGTGATGCTATTGTCATACTTTGAAAGCGACCCGCGCTCCATCTGTGAAATGGTGGTCCGTGTTTGAGACGACCGTGCGCGGTGCTACGGCGAGAGCCACATTTTGAGCACGGCTCGCCCTCCACTCGTAGACCTGTTACAAATTTTATTCGTCAGACACAACGCCCAGCCCGCCCTGCCGGCACGCCTGGGGGTGCGACAAGGGGGGAGCTATTTCTCAGGAGAGAGATGAAGGAGGAGGAGGAGGAGGAGGAGGACGCGGAGGATAAGGAGTAGGAGGAGGAGGTGGAGGAGGAGGAGGAACATGAGAGGAGGTGGAGGACCAGGAGGAGGATGCTGCGGAAGATGGGGGGATCGCAGGATACCGTAGTAGTTGAGATTTACACGTGTTCACAGGAAGTATCCGGATGGTTGTTCCATCATCCGCCGTCGGTTTTAACATGTACCTGTAGCAGCAGTATCAGCAGTTGCTGTAGCAGTGGCAAGTGCAGCACACTTTCAGAGACATTGAGCGGAACCCGTAGCCAGGCGAAATGCAAGTGGTGTAGGACGCACGCAGAGGTTTGTGGGCCGCAGCATCCAAAGAAGATTGTGTCCTCTGGGGCACTACGCTGTGCGGCTGGGCTTGCCCCACTTGGCGACGCGCACGGCGCAATTCTAGACGCTTCGCGCAACGCCACCAGTTTTTCCGCGTTTCGCCAGCGACAGTTGCGCTGTGCTCTTGCACCGGCTTGCGCTCTTCGCACGACTTCACGACGCCGCGCGGCTGTCCGCTTGCGGTTGCGAGCAAAAAGTAACCCCACCAGTCCATCCAGAAACGATGCCCAGAGGAATTGCCTCGATCACAGAAGTGGGCAGCACACAGAGGAAGGGTCCCCCAGTGAAGGCCTGTTGGAGCGTCTTGGGGGCCTCTTGGCGGTCCCGGGCGCCTCTTAGAGCGTCTTGGGTGCCTCGGAGAGCCTCTTGGAGGCCTCTTGGGGCCTCCTGGGGCCTCCTGGGCGCCTCTTGGGGCCCTCTTGAAACGCTCTTGGGAGCCTTGGGAGCGCTCTTTGAGCCCTCTTGGGCCATCTTGGAGCCATCTTGAGGCCTCGGCGAGAAAGCCAAACACATTGATTCTCTTAACGTTTTTGGAAGGATTTTGGCCTCTTCGGGGCCTCCTCGGGGAGGTCTTTAGCCACTTGGAGCCGTCTTGGAGCAGTCTTGGGGCCTCTTGGAGCATCGTGGGAGCCATCTTGAGACATCTTGGGATATCTTGGGCCATCTTGGAGGTCATCTTGGGCTCCCCCAGGCGCTCTTGGAATCATCTGAAGCAGTGCCCCCCCCCAGGAGGCCAAAATGTGGCCAATGATTTTGGCATTGTCGCCCAGACCTCTTGGAACGTCTTGGGTGCCGCTGGGGGGCCTCTTGGGGCCTTTTGGGGGTCTTGGGAGCCTCTTTGGGGCATCCTGCGGGCCTCTTGGGAGGTTTTTGGGGCCTATCGGTCACCTCTTGGGGCCCTCTTGGGGCACCTGTGGGAGCCTTGGGAGCGCTCGTGGGGCCATATCGGGAGAGATCGATCAAAGAAGGGGGGTTCCTTAATTAGCGCCCCCCCACAAGAGGCCAAAATGGGGCCACCACCCAGGTAAAACCACTGATTTTGGCTTCCTCGCCGAGGCCGTTTTGGACGCTCCGACACCTCGCGGCCCCCCCCCGTCCAAGTCCAGGGGAGGGGGCAGGGGGAGGGGTCAAGACTCCCGCCCCGCCCGCAAGCCGTCTCGCTCACTCCCACCAGCCCTACCAACACACGCGCACGTAGCACCCGAATCAGGCCGAACCTCAGCATATTTAGCAGTCGTCTTTGGATAGGCAGCTCCTGGGGGCCGATCCGCCGCCGCCGCCCGCCTCCGCCGCCGCCGCCGCCGCCGCCGCTGCCGCCGCCGCCGCTGCTCGCCACCGCCGCCTCCGCGCCGCCGCCGCCGCCGCCGTCGCCGCCGCGCCGCCCGCGCCGCCGCAGCCGCCGCCGCCGCCGCCGCAGCCGCCTCAGCCGCCGCCGCCGCAGCCGCCGCAGCCGCCGCCGCCGCCGCCATGTGTATTCTGTATGGTTTTTGACAGGGATGGTGGGGTGAGGCCGCATCGGGTTGGCTGCGCATGCTCCGAATTTGGAGGTAGTGTGTTTTGTATGTTTTTTACAAGGGATGGGGGGGGCCTCATGGTTCCTGGTTGGCTACCAGGCGCCTGGGGGAGGGGGTGTTTATTCATAGGGAACAGTGATACCCCCCCGAAAGGGGAAAAAATGGGGGTTGGAAAAGGAGGAGCCGCCATAAACCACCTACGTCCGGAGGGCTGGTGTGATTCTGGACGCTTCGCGTGCCCCGACCAGTTCATCCAGGAACGATTCGTGGGCGA